AAATTGGCAGCACCACAATATTTCTTACACTCTCAAGAACACAATGGAAGAAGAAGTAGAGAGAATGGTGTAGAAATGAGAAGGGATGGGTTCTCTTATATAATGAGAAGGAGAGAAGAAGAAAACAACTATGGTGATGGTGAAGGGTGATTCTGCGATCGGTAGTGGTGAAGGAGGCGCCGTTCGCACAGTGTCCCTGATTGGGACCAATTTTGGTTCCAGTCGGGGTACACTTTTTGGTCCAACTTTCTCCGAATTGAATTCCGTTTACACCGTTGCGATCAGACAGTCGAGCTCTATCCAACGATATATTTTTCATAATTATTTGTAATACTTTTTCCGACATCATATTTTTGGGTGTTTGACTTTAACAGAGTCAAAATTGGTTTAATTGACCTTTCTCATAAAAGGTTCTCTCATTTAATCCATATCAATTATTCTCATGATTTATTTCAATAAATCATTACAAAGTTCACATCATAATTAATTATTTATTCTTGATTTGGGTGTGTACTCAGGTTCCCAATCAAGACCACACAAATAGTCCACATATTGGATTTATCTTAATTAGACTTATCCAGATTTTAATATTGGATAAAAAAATATATTTCATATCGGCCCAAAGCCCAATAATAATCAAAACAAATTTGTTTAATCGAATTATTATTTAATAATAATTCTAGGGTATGTTTCGGGGCGTTACAAGGACGCATGGCATGATACAAGGAGCTCGTGCTTGCCCTGTTGAAAGGCTTCGAGGAATTCAAGATCGCCCAAATTCCCCAGGCGGAGAACGCGGATGCAGACCTTCTCTCCAAGTTGACGTAGTATGCTCCCGAGCATGTTTCAAAACTTTCCCGGGGGGAAATCCTGGATCGAGCCAGCATTGAAAAATTAGAAGTCGCCGCTATAACAGCCGGAAGCCAATCTGACCGATCAAACCTGGTCGGGGCGGACGACCATTGGATGTATGATCTGATGGAATATTTGATGGATGGAAGCTTGCCAGAACAAGATGACCGGGCAAGAAAAGTGAAGCTCAGGGCACCCCGATTCCAGGTTCTTGATGGAAAGCTATATAAAAGGGCATTTGGGGGGCCACTCCTGAGATGTCTAACCAACCGGGAGGCTGAGCGATTCATAGCGGAGGTCCAAAAAGGCGTATGCGCGGTGCATCAAATGTCTCGTGCGCTTTCTCAACGCATCATCCTATTGGGGTATTACTGGCCAACAATTGTCCAGGATTGTGAGAGGTATGTTCAGAAATGCAGAACATGCCAAGTGTTCTACAAGTATCCCGGTAGACCAGCGACCTACTATCACCCCGTATCGAATGTCATTGGAGCGTTCCCAGTCGCCCAAGGTGGGAAGAAGTTTGTAATTGTAGCCATCGATTACTTCACCAAATGGATCGAGGCCGAAGCGTTGGTCAACATCACCACGCAACAATGCAAGAAATTCATTTGGAAGAACATCACCACGAGGTTTGGAGCGCCCATGAACCTCATCACCGACAACGGCCCACAATTCCGAAATCCAAAATTCACCAAATACTTGGAGGGCTTCGGAATCAAGCACAATCGCTCTTCGGTGGCGTACCCCCAAGGAAATGGCCAAGTCGAAAACGCCAAGAGAACTATTGTAGATGGTTTGAAGAAGCGGCTGGGGGAAGCAGGAAACAAGTGGCTAGAAGAGCTCCCGCACATCATATGGGCATTCCGAGTAACACCCAGGAGGGCTCATGGGGAAACTCTATTTTCCCTAACGTATGGGTGTGAGGCAAGGCTGCCCATCGAAGCTGAATTCCCAACGTTTCGGGAATCAAGTTATCAACCCCAGTAGAACAAGGAAGATCACTTGGCCGAACTCAACCTGGTCGAGGAGCGGAGAATGGCCGCGGAAGTTCAAATGAGCACATATCAACAAGTCGTGAAGAAGTACCATGACAACAAGATTGGACCGCGATACTTCCAAGTTGGAGATGAAGTCCTACGAAGAAGAGAGGCTAGTAGACCAGGTGATGGAGGAAAGTTGGCCAAAAACTGGGAAGGACCTTACGAGGTAAAAGCTATCATTCGCCCGGGGACCTACCGGTTAGAAACTTTAGATGGTGTACCGATAAAAAAAACTTGGAATTCCCATCATCTTCGCAAGTTCTACAAATGATTGTAATACTAGGCGAGGCCTAACTACATTATCAATCAAAATGTTCAATACTCTATATGGTAGCAACAGAAATGATAGGTCGAACCTATCCTAGGAGGGCTTCCCGGGTGGATCGAATCCACTTGGATAAGCCAACTGAGACACAGGCCGGACCTGGCACGCTGGTTACTACACCGGTCTTGCTCAGTATAATAGAAAAAATAATAAAACCCGGAAGAGGGGTATGCCTGCAAGAGGGCTGGACCTGGAAGAAGGTTTGAACCGTACTTACACGGGCCCATTAGGTTTGACCGGTATCGGGGAATCAAACGGTACCATCAAATTGATTGGGGACTAAACGATGCCCATTAAAAGAAATAGAAAGGGATCGTCCACCGTGGCGCATCCTATTTCCCCCTTCTCAGGGAAGACTTGAACGGGGGGTGAGCTAAGGCCTTCCCGGGATGGTAGAAATTAGAGGGCCATTAAAAGACTTAATCACCCGGAAGAGGGGGCCCTAGAAGAAGGGTGCATTTGAACCTTGGAAAGGGTTCGAAACCATTCGACATGGTTAAATCTCTAGTATCCTTACCGGTTAAGCATACTTCAAGAATTCACTAGGTTACAGGTGCTCCCATCTACAACCTGTCGGTCAAAAAAAGGAATACCCCTCTCGGGTATGGGTACAACAGAACTTCGAAAGTTCTACAAGGCAAGGCAGTTGACCGGTCAGACCATGGAGTGGAACCTACCGGTCAAACTGTACTTTATCAAAGAATTCACTAGAAGAATGAAGGTATCCAAAAACCAAAATGAAGTTTAGCCGGTCAAACTTTTTTAAGTTGACCATCAAGATGAAGACATTCAAGAGTGAAAGTTGGAGTTTAACCGGTCAGAGTTTTAAGAAGGCATTCTAAGAAGCAGGAAGAAAATATCAATCAAGGAGCAGGCAGATATGGAAGATTAACCGGTAAGAAAATCAAACATGGAATTCAACAAAATAAGAAAGTTAAGTGTTTACAGCTACACCGGGCATTCCCGGGGAAATTTCAAGTTTTGAAGTTTTACAAGAACAACCGGTCCAAACCGGGGAGATCCTAATCTAGGGGGAAAGGGGGAGTAGGTTGTTCCTCTGGGATGGGAGCCAGGCCGTAGGAAGCCGCAGTGAAGGCCGGGTCTCTCTTCAGGAGGATTCGGTGGGAGGCTGCCCGGTCTTTCTTCTGGCCGCTTTTGAATCCGAAGGACCCAATTGCGATTATCATTTTCTTTCCTTCAGGCTCCCGGTATAGAAGCCTGAAGGATTCCATGGTAGCTTCTGGGCTCGCCGTCATCACCCGGGCAGCTTCAGCCTTATTTTCCTCAACCCAGGCAGCTGCGCGCCCGGGGAAGTTTTCTTCCTTCTCCGCCATCTCCCTTTTGGTTTCGGAGACCTCGTCCAGCAGCTGACCGTTCTCCTCCTTCAACCGGGTGTTCTCTGCCCCCAAGGACCCGACCATCTTTGACAACTTGGCCAACTCATTCGTTTGGCTCTTTAGAATGAGGGCCAGCTTTTCGTTCTTCTTCTTCAGCCTGGCCACCTTGGTTGGTGAGTCCATTCCCAACCGGTCGGCGGTGATGGGCCCAATCTCCCCAACCTACACAACTTACAACAACCCGGTTAATCTTTGTGTAACATAAGATAAAGGTTGACCGGTGACGAGAAATGACTTACCTCCCTCAGCCGCAGACCAAGGTTGATGTGCCGGAATCTTTCCTCTGCCTCTTGTTCATGGCAGAGGGATGGTTGGTGGCCACCTTCTTGGTCCGACGACCGGTCTTCTCCTTTTCCTTCCCCTTAGACCGGTTGTCTTGGGGTTCGTCTTCATCAAAGATCTCCACGGTCCAATGATATGGTGTGGAACCCTATCCTATCCTCCCGCTGGGGTTCAACAATGTTGGGCCAGTCATGTTCATACAAAAGGGTATACCCATCCGGGAGCCTCATACGGATTTTATTCAAAGCGATTTTGGATACATGGGAAGGAATGTCAAGGACGTAGAAGGTGGGGAGCGGGAAGTAACCGGCGGCATGAAGCCGCTCCTCCCATGCATCCTAGGTCTCGTTTTCAGGGTCATAGGGACCCGGTTCGTCATCAACCGGCTCATCCCTCCCCATAAAAACCTCACCGGGCATTTGATTAACAGGTTGCGGGTCGGGGACAGAAGGGTTAGGAGTCTGACCGGGCATGGAGTCAGGAGAAGAAGACCCAGTCGAGGAGGAGGAGTTGGAGTCCTCAGAGGAGCAGTCCTCTGAGGAAGAAATCCTATGGCTATCTAAAGAAGACATGACCGGGAAACTAATTAGAGAAGGAAGGGGAAACTTACTTGACTCGGAGGGCTGGATAGCGAGAGAGAGGAACTTGACCGGTGAAAGCTCTGGAATGCGAAGTGCGAAAAGTGAGAAGTGAAGAGGGTTGGAGGCCTTTATATAGGAGGGGGGAAGCTGAATCAGGCGACATGGCTTCTTCAGGTTGCGCCGCGTCAGGCGGCACAATGATGACCCACTGGCAGGCAAAACGACGGGTCTGCAGTCGACTGATTGCAACGGTTGATGCGCAACACGTGCCAAAAATCAAAGTTTGAAATTCAAATTTCAAAAGTTTTAGGCGGGAAGAGCCAAAATTTCAAAATTGGAGTCCTATTTCATATTTTTTTACTTCCCGCTCATGACAAATTGCATGACCGAGAAGAGGAAGGCTTATTGATGGGTGTATTCCACCCACGACCGGTCAAAGGAGAAGACCAATTAGTTGACCGGTCAATCTCGAAAGTCTTGGAAGGGAGACTTAAATCATCAGCAAATCGATATGTAATCGGCCCAAAGATGACCGGTATACTTCACGAAAGAGTATACCGGTCAAACTACTTTGTCACTCTATTTATTCCCTAACTCCGATAAATTCATCCCTCGGAGATTACCCGGTGCAGTTTTTAGGGTTGGAAAGTGTCGGCAGAAGAGAATCTAAAAGGATTTGGCGTGTAGCGACCCATGTCAGTGGAAGATAGTTGGAGATACTTGAGAAATCCATCCAAGGCATTACTTGACAAAGGGAATAATTCCCCTCGCAAGGCGACAAGGCAGTTCAAGGACGAAACCAGTCACCTCGCACCACATCAGCAGCGTGCCCCCACGTGGGCGCACGTGGTCTTGTCCCCCTTAGCCTAGTATAAATACTCAGGTAAACCTCAGAAAGAGGGATCCCGATTTCATTCTCTCTAAAGTCCCTTGTAAAAGCACCCGTGAATTCTCCGTTATAATATAAATTGGGCTACAGGTGTTCCACCTAAAATCCTACCGGCCAATCTGCGTGTTTTTACCTTTCTTACTTTGCCGAATCAAACAAATTATTCTAGACCCGGTCTAGTATAGTTTGACCGGTCAAGTAATTTACACCATCAAACACCAAAATGTTACATTCTCCGAAGTCTTTCAAAAAAATATGAATTTTAAAAAGACTTTGAAGTGTTTAATTTTGAATTTATACATAAACATTTTTATAACCAAATATTAAATTCCAAATTATTTATTTTACTTTGATTTTAATATCTACAGTGTTAAAGAAAGCATTACATATATTTTCATACTCGACAATTCAAAAAATCAACTATAAACTTAAATTACTAGTGTTATGAAATTAATGATTGTTCATTTATTCAATTAATCAGGACTAATTTCTAGAATAGTAGATTAAGACATTGATGAGTATCAATTATGTACAATACTTCCCACTTGTATTTGTATCCATACCAAGGCTCTCCACTATAAATAGAGGCCTAATCCCTGCATTGTAATGACCATTAAGAATAAGAAGAAGAGTGAAGAACTAATAGAGAGAAGAAATCAGAAATATATTATATCTATTCTCATAATCTCTGAGTAGTTTTTCTCTCATTTTATAACACGTTATCAGCACGAATTTGCTCAAAATCCCAGAATCCTTATTCTTCTCAGAAGGTATATTTATTTAATTTTCTTCATAAACAAACTAAAATATTTTCTGAAAAACTATGAGAAGTATACTCTGTGATTGCCCAAAGTTGGGATCCTTCACATCAGAAACTTATAGTTATAAAAATAAAATTAGATAAATTAAAAGAAATAAGTTTCCTCACAATCCCAGAAAATCATATTTTTGATAAACTAGAATAAAGAATAGAACTTAATATAGAGTAGCTAAAATTGAAAAACAAAATTTAATTCAATTTTAAACTACTCTTGAATTCTGCAAGCTAAGGTGTAATAATAATAATAATAATAATAATTTAGATAAAAAAATATAAAGAACATAGATATAAAAGTAGATGAACTTACCAAGGTTCTTC